TCCCAGAAACTTTCAATGTGTTGGACCTTCTTGACGTCACGATTAACAATATCTTTACATCTGATTTATGTAATATTTTGAGTTTGGGCTCTTTTTAATCATGAACTCCTGTAAATAACAATGTGTCATTTTTTTCATGATTGATGTATGTTTCATGAAGATACGAGTAAAAAGGCCAAGTTTAAACTACCTTGCTTGGCTACGTGTGTCTGTGGATTATTTTTGTGTTAGAACTCCATAAGGAATATCGTTCTGAGTGAGGGATTATGTTTGGACTCATTTTAAGCGTACGAATCTGCTGTAAATAAAGATGTGTCAACTGGAGCGTTTAATGAAGTTACGAGCGGAAATGTCCTAAATCAAGCACCCATAAATGATTTACATGTGGGTCTCTTGAGGGGCTTCTTGTACAAAACCTTGCTCAAGTTTAGTAAAATGCCTGAAACAATTATGCTTGTTGTATTCTACTCATTGAGACCTTTCAAATGAAATATGGCACATGACTATCTGAGCTGTATGATGTATTTGACTATTGCAGAATGTTGCAAAAAAAATTATAAATTATGTACTTTATAAATTATGAAAACATTTTATTTTTTTATTAGCAAATAACTCAGCACTTATCAAATTGGCTACATTCGTTGTAAATTTCAGACTCTAAGCTTTCAAATGACACCAATTTTGAGTTAATCAAGGTAATATCTTTGAAAAAAATATTTTTATTAATTTTATCGCAGCTAGGTGGCACCTGCTTGGCGGTACACTCAATCCGTTTTAGAGGGATTACTCATCACTCGTTAGGAGTTGTGATTAGTTGAGATTCTAAACTTTAAAATTACAAACATTTTGTGTTATTACAGTGGTTGCCTAGTAATTTGATTATTATTATTTTTCATGGGGTGGTGTTGGTTAGGGCTTAAGGGGTCAACATCTCGCACAGAATCTTGAGAAATCACTGCTATTTTGAACCTCATATCTGCTTGGATTAATAGAGAGCCTAAGTCCCTCCCCTCCGCTTCCGGCTCATGGGACCTTATTTCGGAAAAAAATATGTGTGGTAGTCAATGGAGAGAGACAACTTATCTTTTTATTCTATCTGAACTGTGCCCTGAATTACACATATGACGTTTGTCAATTTAAAAGATAATTCTGAATGTAAAGAAAGTCGCAGTTTGTCATAAAACAGAAGAGTAACATTTCGTTTTATGTGAAAATCGCTCAATGAACTGCATCTCCTGTTAAGCGAAACAACGAGCAAGATCTGCTGTTCATGTGTGTGCAGTCAGGGACAAAACCAATATTATGAAGCTGCAGACTCGGAGCCTGCATCTACAGTCCCCCACCGAGAGTCCCGCATTCTCAGACCCCTCATTTTTCGAACACAGCGCATCCTGCTGTTCAAAAGATCGAATAACACCCGCACACAGAGTACAGTTTACGCTTATCCAAATGCAATTAAAAACAATAGGATGCAATATTACGGTCTTCAAATAAATTATCCAATAAATATTTGCGTTCCCTGCTTAATGCAGGTGCCAAAAAACTCATTGTTACTGATGGAAGGGATACAATTACAGATTGAACTATCTTCTGAAAAATAGTCTATGTGATATTTTATTGCTACAATGTTTTGTTTTTTTATATATTTTTTTTTATTCAAAATTCAAATTCCACTTTTTCTTTCAGTTCAACCTATAATGGTCTAATTAACATTACCATGCTAACATAACAAAATCTGTTTTTTTATATTTTGAATGCGAAGCAAAATAAATCAGAATAGACAAAACACCAATAATAAACAATTCAGTAGGCTACTTTATTTAATGATCACCTAAACATCATCTTACTGTAAAGAAAAAAGGAAGAACAAACTGTGTTCGTGACTTTACTTTTCGTCTTTAATTGCATTAAAAAAACTCATTTATAAGTCGCTTTGCATAATCATAAAATGATATGTTGCTGGAATCGGAAGGGGCAACTCCATCGATGTATGGTGTACTGGATACGATAGCACATGTCTTATGATCTTTCAAAAAGAAAGAAAAAAAATCAAATTCATGTTGCACTGCTCTGACTGTGTCCCTTGAGATGTTTTTGAACTTTGGACAACTTTGTGGGTTTGAGATATATGGGGGCACAAAATGGGCAGTAAAAATAACTGCAGCATTTATGACTTATAAAAAAGTCCGAGGTTAAAGGCTAACGTTAGCTATCAAAATATTTTCGGGGTAAAGAGGGCGAAAAAACATAACGGCTCAAATCTTGTTACAAACTACCTTTACAAATATTAAATGGACTATTCTTATGTTGTATCGATTAGCTAAATTAGTTTTATTAAAAAATAAATCAAACGAGCTATTACGATTCTCTAAATAAAATTGAAGACAGCCTAGTCACGTTTTGGCTTAGGTTCTGTTTATCTGATACAATTTGATAGTAGGCGCTGACTCGAAAAACGAGGGGTCTGAGAATGCGGGACTCTGGGTGCAGGGGGACTGTAGATGCAGGTCTCCGAGTCTGCAGCTTCATACTACTCGACAAAACACTCAGGCATGACGGCGTAATGTTACGATTATAACGTAAACAAAGACAGGCGTCAGCTTCAGTAAAGTTAGCATTATTCATTGAGAGAAAATGTGCACCTTTGGGGTTTGTAGTCTTTGTAATTATGTATTTTCACAGTCTTATACCTCAACAGTTTTACATCGAACTGCGACTTTTTTTCATTTAAAATGTATTTTTTAAATTCACAAGCATCATATGTGTAATTCAGGGCACAATTCAAAGATCGAAATATTTGCTGTCTCGTGCCATTGACTACCATTCAATATCTTTCCGAAATAAGGTCCCATGGTGGTCGACCGGAAAAGGTGGGACTTAGGCTGACGTCAGAATTTGCGGCTGGCTTCAAGGTTTCCTCTGGGGTTTTTCAATTTGAGTAAAATAAAGCCTGTGGTAAACAACTTGATATGATACGTTTTGTTCTGCTGCAACACAAACTGAACACATTTGTGCCCCAACTCATGTTTTCAGAGTGTGTGTTTTATTTGTTGAACAAAACGTCAAAGTATGGTCAATTTGTTTACTACAGACCTTATTTTACTCATAAATTGGAAAAACATTAGCGAAATCTACCGTGTTTTGATGTAATCCCTGCATCACTCTATAGAGGGCTGCTCAACACTAAGATCCACAATCTGTCCTGACTTATGTAGAAGCCCACACCTACATTCACTTCCTCATTTGTGTTCAGCTATTGAGTAAGTGGGTCTGGTTTCCTGTCAACATGCTTTGTTTTTTCAGTCAAGTTTCAACATGCTCCGGACACTTCTTCAAAACTGTCGGGAATAGTTTTCTGTTTGAACTGGGGAAGCTGTTTGGAATCGGGGCAGAGCTGAATATGTTGTTATTGGTCAAAATCCAGAAAGGTGGAAGCATTTTAGCACTTCAAGTTCCATTGTCTCGAAGACTGAAAGAGTTGTCATGGGACCGTGCTGTAGTTGATGTCTTCCATTTAGCTTTTTAATTCTGATTGTATTTGGGCTTAAACTCAAAGAAGTTGTTTATTGGTCAAGATTATCATATTTTCTCCAACCCAAAAAGAAAAAAAAAAAACTATTGGGTTTTTGTGATTAAGTGTACAAAAATACTGTTGGCAATGTATGTGCATACATCACTCGCCTGATAATAATGGGTAGATCCCATTTCTTCAGGAAGTCTTTGGTTCCTTCAAGCTGAACACACATCCTGATGAACACATTTGAATAGCAAATCTGGCCATTTTCCGTGTGGTTACAGAAAGAGGACATGCCGCAAATTCTTGAGCTTTAAAGTGTCCAGTAAGCAAAAGTACTGCACTAGAAGGACAGAAAATTGTCTCTGACATATTAAAAGCATGTAATCAAAACTTACTGTGTTGACACTGAATTTGCCTGCCGCTCACCTCATTCAAATCCAATGCCAAGATTCAGATGGATTGCTTGTTCATGTTTGCTTGAGGGATTGCAATCAAAGTCTATTCATCTTGATATGATGATCCGTTATGTACACACCACGGCATGATCACTGCTGTGATGTCATTGATAACTATTAACACAACTTGTGTCTACAGTAGTGTAATCTGGATTTTACACTAATCACTTAGGGTGTGTATGCCAAAAAAGTAAGTATTTATACAAGCTGCCCTAGAACACACATGAAATAAGCAGCACAGTGATATATTCTGCTCCCTGTAAAGTATGCATAACCACACGTTGGACAAATAACAGTTTAATGATTAGCAGAAGAATGATGCATGGGAGGACAGACTGCCATCAACCTCGGAGCATATAGTGGCATGATGGAAAGTTTTAGGGGGGTTTCTAAGACACCCGTGTTGTATAACATCCCATGCGTCTTCTTGAGTGCGAGTGAATCACTTTTTTATGTCCTAATGAACCACTTACACTGGGAGGGTCACATATGAAAAATGAGTCTGTGAGGAAAATGAGTCTGTGTTGCAATAGTTTTTTTTTTGTGTGTGAATGAGACATGCAATTAAATGCAGTCGAGTAACTTTGTAATCCACTGTGACAACTGAAACTGAATTTAAAAAAAAAAGTAAAACGTGTCATGACAAGTACAAAAAAACAAAACAAAATGTAAGAGACAAACGTATCCTGAAGTTTAAGGCAGATGCCTACGCATAACACAGCGACAGGAAGGACAGAAGATTGTGAGAATGAAACTCACTGTAGAACTTAAAGCATTTGGTTCCACACCAGACACTCACCGCAACTGTTGATGCTGAGACCCCTGCTCTGTTCAGGGACTCAATCCATGAAACCTGCTCAGTTTATGTCTGTTGTTGCTGAATATTATGTTCATACTTAAAAGCAGTTGAAAATAAGAAACTATTTCTTTCTGTTTTCAATTATTCCTGCAACAGACTGGCTATTCATTCAGCCAGGAATGGATTTGGTTGCTGTCAATCTAAGAAAACCACACAACCCAAAGAATTTGAATACTCAACCCATAAAATATCTTTATTAGATATTAGATGTCATATGGACTAATTGAAAGGAATTGACACACACACACACACACACACACACACACACACACACACACACACACACACACACACACACACACACACACACACACACACACACACACACAGGCAAAACAACTCATGGATGAAAGATAAATTAATTTTAATTGCAAGTCAATCTAACATAGGTACCTACAAAAATGCATGGGCTTTGAGTATAAATATTTAAATATGATGCACGTTGCAACCCTGTGCTTTCGTTTAATCTTAATTTACAACTATTTTATGTTAATTTTAGTAAATTACTTGGCCCAACCCAAACCAAACCCACCACAACCTCCATTAACTGACTGGTCCTGTGCAGTACAGTTTCTCTAGAAACTTGACCACAACATCAGTGCACTTGTTACAAACAAGTACTTTTTACTTTTACTTATAGTCATGTTAAAAAAAAGCTGCCTTACATGGGTAAGAATCTGAAATAAATGGTACACATAGGAGCCTCACTTTCATGACAGTGCAGTAGAGCCTCCGAAACAGTCCTGAGGACACCCTAACAACTTCAGCTTCGGTTACACGCTTCCACATTTCACGAATATCGCTGACGTGTCCATGTGAGGTCATCATCTGGTTGTAGATACAACTATGATAAGAAGCTTTTCCTTCTCCCGAGAAGAACAAGTGATCCTTTGGAGAAATGTCCATCACTTTAGCAGCGATTCCAAGAAAGACGTCATCAATGTGAAAGGAAGAGTTTATGGTGAGTGACGCTTGATAGATTCTGGTAGCTACATCTCTGGAAAGGACATACCCTGATCCAGGGGTGTAATCTGGGTAAGACACCCACGGGTACATGTCTCGGGACACGTAGTATTTGCTCTCTTTATCTCGAACGGGTGGCGAACCGCGGTGTACCCTTCCTATCCAAAGGTCTTTGCGGCCGATCCCTTGCAAGTAGCGAATTAAGTTGGGAATGTGGACAAAGACGTCGTCGTCTGCAGACATGAGGAACTGGGAGTGGTGGCAGAAGTTTTCTTTCCAGCCAAGCTGCAAAAGGAGCTTCAGAGTGAGGTTGTGGAAGGTGTCTTTAAAGTCCTGCTGGATGAGGTCATGATATCTTTGGTCCTCAAAGAACAGCTGCTCCTTAAGTTTGCTTCTGTACTCTGGTTCGGGATGGAGGCCGAGAGCAAACAGCACCCTCACAGTGACACCCAGCGTTTTCTCAATGTACGTCTCATTTCCCCAAGTAGAGCGAATGGCCTGTCTTCTTTCAAAGTTCTCGGAAGAGCTTTTCACAAAGAGCAGGAGCAGAATGTCTTTCTTATCACACTTCCTCTCATGGTTTATGAGGTATCTGTACTTTAGAGCGTCTTCAGGATTGACTCTTAAGCTTGCGTTAATGAACGTGAAGCTGTTGAGAAGGTGGCGGTAAGAGAAAGACACTACGTGGCTTACGACGTTATTGTCAATTTTTTCCCAGTACACCATGAACAGTAAAGCGCTAAAGCACACTGGTATTAGCCGTAGTTGGTATTTTTTGAATCTAGGCATTTTGAGAATCATCATGACTTAGGTTTCACTTAGTCACGATGGCCTTCAGAACGTGTCCAAGTCTGGGTTGGAAATCCGAGAAGCAGTCTGGTACTGTGATTGCTCCGCTGCCACTGATGTTGAAGCCCTCGTCATGACAAAAGATCAATGAGACCAGTGTGATTGTGGAAGTCTGTAAAAGAAACGTACATGATCAGCTGACTTTCCCTGTACAAGGATGGCCAAAAGCCCAATTCGGACGGGATTAGTTTTACAAAGGTAGATAAAGTAATGATATTTTACCCAAGGACATCAATAATTATAATAACTACGGCCAATAGGGGATTATCACGCTTCCGGGTTTCATGGGCGGGATTTGTCAACTTTGTGCATGTCCACTTCCGACGCAGTTCAACAATGGCTGAGACGAAGGCTATATATATATATATATATATATGTCACTGCTCTGTTCCACTTTGTAAATCTAACCAACAACGTCAACCCTACGCAAGTTTTCATGGATTGGATTCCCGACTGAATTGAGTATAAGAAAGAACTGGATTAAAACTTTAACCTGTTAACTGTCACCCCCCCTTTTTTGAATAGACATGAAAATGCACATTTCGAACTTAAATGGTTGTAATTCAAGAATGCTTTGGAATATAGACATATGATTGGTCTTGTTTTAAAGAAGACATTTGGCAGATTTTTGTAGAAGTGAAATAAATTAAGAAAGTGAAACAGAAAAAAAGTTATAGAAGTTAGAGTTTATGGAAATGTACAATGTAAAAATATTAATTATTAATATTTTACATAAAATATATATTTTCAAAACCTGGGCTACTCTAAAATGGCAGAAAGATCAAAGCCAAAAATCTGAACAAGTTGTGTTTCAAATTTTAGGTTGATATCTCAAAAAATGAGCTTTCAGTAAGATTTTGTTTGAGCGCAGTACCAAACTTTTTCACTAGGGCACAATCAGACTCCATTACTGCCCATATAAGGGCGTCTGCATTTCCATTCATGTTTTGAGTGATATGAACCCTTATTTTCACAATTTTCATACAATTTCTGAAGTAGAGATCCTATTCAGGAGTAGTATGGGAAGTTTGGCAGATTTTGATATGAATTGAACCTCTAAGAAACACATACAAAGAACACGCATGTAAGTCATAGCTAGCTGCCACGTCACAAATGGTGAATTTATTATTTTTTTCTTGATATTTTAAACTTTTCAGACCTTTTTTTTCCAAAATAATTGAATGGATTCTATCTTTTGAACTTTTGGCATGAAAACAAACTGAGGTATCTACCATTTTTTCATGATTTTTCATGTTTATTGCTATTTTAAAACAAAGGTCTGAACACGCCTTATGAGTATGAAAATATTCTTGTTTTATATTGATAAATTATGGCTCCTCTGTAATATATTTTGACAATCAGTCACCAAATATGGAAACTAGAGATTGTAAGCTTTCAAATGATATATAGTTTGTCAATATTATTTAAGGTATTTACTAAGATATTATTGTTTTAAAAATATAGTGGCAAACGTCCCACCTGTGGGACGGTGACAGTTAAGTGGTTAAAATAAAACAAGGTAGCACGTTTGTTTGCAGCCGGCACTTTAGTGAATCAGAGGGATTCCGTATAAATAAACTTAGTGTAGTCCGTCATCAGTTCGCCAGCAAGTTCGGTGATTCAACGGAAGTGGCAGTGCAAAAAGATCACTGAATCCGGAAGTCCTACGTATCAGCGTGATAATCCCCTATTCACACAGGAGACGTTATCTCAGTAAAACTAGCAGAAGTAGAAGGGGTAACGGTCCAGTCGAACGATGTATCAATTAAATTCAGATTGGATTATGTTGGTAAAAGGCACTTAGCTAACGCTAAAAGAAGTTGTCTCCCTCTAACAAGTGCTTTCCGACCTTCTTTTTGATCTGAATAGTATATGGAAATAGTATATGGATTGAGTTGCCACAAACTTAAAACTTTTTCAAACTTTTTCAAGCGCCTCCATACTTGAAACCGAGGAAACTACTTTTAAACAGGAAATGGCGAATATAGACCATTTCACAGGAAATGGCGAATATAAAACATTTCACAGGAAATGGCGAATATAGACCATTTCACAAGATGTAAATAACACTGGTCCAGAAACACAGGACCAGTAAAACGTTTCAGTTTGTAACTGTTTTCTTTATTTCACATGTAAAAAAAAAATCTTAAAGATGTTTGTTTAACTTTTTGATTCAGTTTTAAATGTTCTGTTGGTTGTATTTTAACCCAGCTTTTATGTAGTGTTAAAAAACTGAAACAGGAAGTGCTTCTGGACCAGTATTGTTTAGATCTTGTGAAATGGTCTATATACATCATGTGCTGAACTTCATGTCGTTGTGATCCTTTATAAGAAGATATTTATGAGAAAAAAAAATTCTGTACCATGTTGCCTTGGACCCTATTGACTTATTATATGGACAAAAAATATTCACAATATATTCTTTCATGTTCCACAGAAGACAGAAAGTCAAAAGAGTTTGGAAATACATAAGGGTGAGTAATTGACAGATTCTTTTTTTTTTTTTGGGGGGGGGGGGGGGGGTAGCAAAACTATCCTTTTAAGGTTATTTTAAACTGGCATTGACAATAGATTGTCGCCTATCCTTACATTTCTACCATTAAACATGCCTTCTGCTAAGAATATTCAGATCAGTACAGAGAAAAAACAGAAACAAAACTTACATGCAAATTCATCACAGTAGTGAAAACACAAAGCATTGTCCTTCAACTTTCAGCGGTCATTGGGTGCGTTTCATTCAAAGTGAATGGTTTAGCAAGCTTTGGTGGTTATTTCTAAAGCATGCCATTTTGCAAAATTCTGTTTTGCATGAAACTAGTCTATCCAACTGTCAACCAAGCAAGGTTTGTTGCAAAAGCCAAGCTCTAAACCCCGAAATAAAGCAATACATATGTCAATCTTTGCTACATTTGAGTAACCTTTTCATTGAATTGTCAAGTCTAGGCTTGCAAGATTTTGCCATTGTTTGACCTGATGGAAAGAGCAACTAGGCTACAAAAAAAAAAAAAAAAAAAAAAGAGTTACGAATAATAGAAGAACAAAACAATGATTTCTCTATACAATCCTAAAAAAAAAACATCTTAAGTTATGCAATGCAAATATGATGCAACGTAAATGCAAATGTGAAGAGAAAAACAGGCCTGGGGGCAGGGATGGCGATACATGCATTTAAAATGTGTTAAAATAAAGTTTTGCATTCTGTATTTTGAATGTGAATTGAAATTATATTTTTTTATTTATTCAAATAAAAACAAAATGTCCTCATCGTATTTGGTATTTTATTTTGATCATTTTTATGTGAGGTTACTGAGGCATTTTGTATCTTTATTTTAAAAACATTCTTGTATGTATGCCCGTTTCTGTTTTCTTTGTTGAAACCCAATGACATCCCTGTTAACGGTCTCATGATAATGGTCACATGACGGAACAAAAGGGTGATGTCAGGGCATTGAAGATAAAGGAGGTTTTTTCTGCTCCTAAGAGCACATGACCCTTGGGAGCAATGTCTTCTCTTTGCGCAGGTTCAGAGGTAGTTCAGGACCAGATAGACTGTAAAAAAAATGGATGTAGTGTGCACGTCACCCGTCAACGCTGAAGAGCGTTTTTGAAGCCTAAAGTGGCGTGGCCTGGGCCGGCCATCGCCATCTTGGCAGCGCGTCACCTCTCGTCACTCCCGGATAAAATAAAATGGGCAAAGAGGCGGGACGTGGGTGGAGCTGAGGTGCTAATGCTATGCTACTGGCCTCGGGCTAAAGTGACAGCTGATTGAAGAAGTAAAGCCAATGTTAAAGTTCATGTTTTTGCCCTTCGAAATATTATATAAAAAAACTTACCTAAAAATGAGACTGTGTATCGTGATGAATTATTACTCTGCTAGTTTAAAAATGTATTATGCAGTAACTTACAATATTGCTCTGAGCTTGTGCGTGTGACAGTAATTCATGCACATACATGTCAGTCAGCATGGCATCGCACGTCAAGTTTGTAAAGAGCTTTATTCAGTCCATTTTAAAATCTGACTTTGGCCGCCTCCCAATTTCTCAAATGGGTTAAACCCAAATTACCCAAATTATTAAGTAAATGCACTAGAAATCCGTGTCATTCAAGGGTGTGCAGCATATATTGCATGGACGGAGAGAAAGCACTGACACCTGCGGGATTTTATCTGACACTACAAACACTAAAAGTTAAATAAGCATATCAGTTCCTTGAGAGCCACAGTAGCGCATAACGAGTGTGATATCTATATAGACGTATTTAAAGGTGCCATCTGTAAAAATTGAGGTTAAAATATCCCAAAAATGAGCTACACGCATCAAAAGAATGAAAAGAAATAAGGTTGATGATGTCATTAAAAAAATGAAAAGTTATAGTGCTGCCGAGATATTAACCTGAATTAGCATGCTAAATTACTAGCCCCGGCCCGGCAGGTGTCGTAATACCAGTTTCGGCCATGGGAGGCGGTATGTGGGCAGACAACATTACCACCAGCCAAACTGCAATAGACGAGCAAGTCGCGCGGCTTGTGTGTACTTGAACCTGATGTCAGTCGTGTGGAAAATACAGCCCACTACTACATTTCAGTTCAGGGAAGAGTTCAAAAAATGATTGGTCAATATTATGCATGAGGAATACATTTTGGTAAGTTGTAACATACTGTATCTTTCAACAGTGTTCGTGTTCTTTTACCATTAGCTAGTAGAGATGATCGGTTCACGTGCGTTAGGGATCTGTCGTCTAAAGCACCAAAACTGTATTTATTGTTTGAATTGCGTAATAAAATTAACAGAATCTGAGAGCTGACATCGGTCTCCGTGTCCTTTTCTGTGCATGACAAAATGGATGTGTGGTGTGAGAGTGTGTGAAAAGTGTTGTGAGAGTTGGCAGCTCTGAAAGACGCTAGCTTGGTCCACATCAGGGAATGCTGTCTGTCAAATTAATTAAAACTAATGATAAAAATGTACTATGAACAAAACGAATACCATAAAACTAGAAATAACAGCCTGGGCTTTAATTTTCCCATATCGTCGAAATGCACCGACTTGTCTATGAGACGGGCCTTTATAATTTAGTATTGAGATGTTGTTCATTTCGTCTCTAATCGCTGAAAATCTCCAAATGCTCCACGTGAATCTGCGGCCTTCCAACCTTTTACTATCGTGTCAATTGATTTGATTAATATGCACGAGGGAGACAGAGCAACACAGCGCTCGCCCGTGTTTTTTGAAGACATGAGAGTGTGCGCGGCCGCGGAGGCATTTCTGGAGGTATACTGCCCCCATCTGGTATGGAATATGCTGTATGATTTGATTTTAAATGCCAGAGGGCACCTTTAAATCTAAACTCCAAAAAGCAACAAAATTGTCAGACATCCATTAGTGCATTGCGAGGCAAACAACTGGAAATACAGCGCTGGTTGTTCTCTCCATACTCAAAAACGACGGAATCCAATAGCGTGGGCGGAGGTATAATGCGTGTATTAAATTGTATGAAATAATCCCGAAAAAAAGCACAATCCCGGCAGAGATGGCAAGTACTGCAGCGGCTGGATTTAGCTAGGGTGACGCTAACAGACAGCAGACAAACGGCCGCAATCCACCTGTCACTCAAGTGGCCACGCCCTTAATTATGCAGAACTTTAAGGCTTAATATAATTTTAACGGATGAGTTGTAAAAATATTCACCTCCCTCACAGTCGTCATGAAGGGCAAAATTAGCGATATAGACAAACCACTATTTGCCACCAGGCTGGTTTTTTTTTCTGCTGTAAAGTTAGACATTTTGCCATGTGGGAGATACAGATTTGACTCGCTTTTGCAGCCAGCCTCAAACGGCCACTCGATAAATTGCAGTTAAATTTGCAATTGCATTAAAATAGAGCATCACAGTCCCGCCCACAGCCGGTGCTGGAAGTAAAAATTCAATACATTTTCTCCATTGACATATGAGATATAAGCCATAAAAACGTGACCATACATGGTAGACTCAAAACCAGCTAAGACTACTAAGTGATTGTATATGCTCATTTAAACACCAAAAGTTTATGGGGCAGTGGCACTAACCTTGTTTTAAGATAAATGCCTTTTATTCGCGATGTATTCGATAAGTACTTCATTACCCACAATCCTGAACAATCCCACAAACCGACAGTGATGCATCTGATTGGTGGACGTCGTCTCACGTGTCTGAAACCCTGCGAAGATACGTGACGGACTGAAGATTGTGTAATGACGTAGGGCTAAGTTCATTGGTCGCACCTCTGAGACGACCCCGCACCATTGGATGTGCAGTTGCCGCAGCACAGCCTATGAGCGAGCCAGATGCTCAATGAATTAGCGTACTGCAGCTGCAAATGCATTTGCTTCAGTAAATCGAGGAAAATGAGTTTCCCTGCACATTCACTATATAAAACTCACTGGAGGATAAAGTTCATGTGGCCGTCGTCAGATTTGGAAGTCACTCAAAAGGCTCTTTCACGGTGGCTTCAGTCGACTTTAGTGAGGTACGGTGGTTTATGGGACAAGTAGTTCCTTTGTTCGCAAATGAAATATGTACACAGTCTTGTACCCTTGACTTTTTTTTGGATTTTCTCTTCGTTTTTTCACTCGAAATGATATTTTGTATGCTTATGAGTTCAGCCGTAGCTGGTTATCCTCAGACATGCTCTAATACTCTTTAGATATGGATTTTACAAATGGGAGAAATGAATGGGAAATTTACTTCCGGCAGACCGGCACCAACGCTCTCTTGGGCTGTGGGTGGGACTGTGATACTCTATGAAAAGAGAAGTATCAACTGAAGAACGCTTCAGAATGGCCATTACTGTACATCTCAGTAACTCTGGAGACACAGTTCAGATACAAAACTTAAACAAGCACAGCAACAAGATGTTAAAAACAGGATATGTCACCCAATTTTTTAAATTTTGTTATGATTTTGTTCTTCAAAATGTATTTTGTTTTCCACAGAAGACAGTTATACAGGTTTGAGTAAATTATCATCTTGGTGAACCCTTCCTTAAATGGGAACTAGACAAGTTACACAAAGATGTTGTTGAAAAAAAAGTGTTTCAAAAATGGTTAATACTAAGAACAGGTATAACTTTTAAACATGAATCATTTTAACTCAAGTGGAGTTCACCTATTCTCCTGATTTATTGGGTAAAAATGACAACATAGCACTCTGCATTATCTATTTAAAACACTTAGTAAGGTGTTAAATCATAAGTTTTAATGTAATTCTGGTGTCTGAACGCTCAGATGTGGCCACAAAAAAGTATCAGGACACAAAATAAAAAGCATAATATTTGCATAAATAACCACATGTCAAAACAAGTAGCAACTGCAAACAAATAGCCTGTTGGACTTTTCCCTCAGAACAACCTGCTTCTTTTCTGAAGCTCTTATCTCTTTTTATTTACAAAGGTTGAGTTTTAAGCAAGAGTTAGTGGATTTATGAATCCTCATAAATCAGTTAAGGATTGATGAATCAGATAAGTCAGTTCTCCTCACGTTCACCAGAAAGTGTCCAAACACCCTTGTCATCTCTTTGAACAGTGTAACGTTAACTGTGTTTTATCCTTTTAAACCTTTTTAAAAGTTGTGTGTGTGTGTGTGTGTGTGTGTGTGTGTGCGTGTGTGAAATGGTTTAAATTAAAAGCGTGTTTGTGCAATATTTCCGTTTTATGTTAAGTTTGACGCGCCATGTAATAAAGAATATCACCAAGTTAATGGTGACTAATGACAAATTTGTTATTCGGCTAATTATATTTTTAAACAAACCAAAAAATTAAATCACACGAATGACTTACCAGGTTGGTTGACAGCAGAACGCTGTTGTGGTTGGCTCGTTGACAAACTGTTGCTCTGTAGAAGTTGTAAGAGGAATGAGCGTGCGTGGACACTCCCAAAGTTTGAAATTAATGTTAAAGGGGACGCGGCACGCCTACATATTTTTCGTAAAGTTAACTTTTACGGTCAACGTTATAGGCTACTGCTCTGAAGCATAATTACACACAGTCACACAGCGATGCTAAATTTGCTTTATGACATATAACAGCATTTGGGTACTATATGTCATCACCTTACAGCAAAACAATTGATTGATAACAAGACTAATAATCCTTCCGCCAAGTTATTCAGAAAACTTTAGCAGAATGATGACAGATAGCCTATGTAACTTATGTAATTAGGTCAGGTGTTAAAACAGGACTAATTATTCAAAACAGAACTTTTAAAATGTTAAAGGACGATCAAGTTAATGGATTTTTTTCACGGACTGTGATGACGCGTTGTAGGGTCATCATCCAGTTTTTTTATTTATTTTTTATTTTATATATATATATATATATGTGTGTGTGTGTGTGTGTGTGTGTGTGTCAAATGTTAAAAAAACTAGTTAAGGCTGCTGTTGTGAGGGTGTTTTTTTCACCCCAATTTCCCTATATCCCCCCCCCCCCCTTTTTTTTTTTTTGAAAGTTGTGAAAATGCTACTTGGGGAGTTTTTCTTTTGTTATTTGAGCAAATGTGAGCATGAAAAACATATTTAATGTAGATTCACATTCACAGCTGACCTGCAAGGGTTAGTGAAGCAATATACCCTAAGAAGCCATGGTTTACAGTGAATTTAGAACAGCTAAGGCCTTTTGGCATGATGCGGAGCACAAAAATGTAGCTATATTGATAAAAAAAAAAAAAAGCAGAATGTTTGCCAATGCTGATGTAATGCAGGTGTGTATGTGTGTTGATAACTTAAAATGGCGTTGAATGTGGCTCAGCTTTTATAAGGAACAGAACGATACGGGTTCTGGAAATAAAAGCTCCATTAATGAAAGCCTATTCATAGGGAAGTTGATTTTGAATGATAATTATAAACCTTTAAAGACGGAAGCTATGTTAATCTTTAATATTTGCTTTTGCTGAAGAATTCAGCATTGTTTCGGCTTATATTGAACCCTGTCTTCACGATTTGTTTTTTTCTAAATGAAATTATCAAACTAAAATATAAGCCTAAAAAAAAAAAAAAACTTTTGCTGATAATTTACTCACCCCCATGTCATCCAAGATGTCCATGTCTTTCTTTCTTCTGTGGAAAAGAAATTAAGGTTTTTGATGAAAACATTCCAGGATTTTCTCCATATAATGGACTTCATTGGGAACCAATTGGTTCAGGGTCCAAATGAGAGTTTCAGTGCAGCTTCAAAGGGCTTTAAACGACACCAGACAATGAATAGGGGTCAATGCTCTTTAAGTCATGACTCGAAAAAATATTTGCTCATTTTGATAAACGAGTTTGAACAGGAGAGTCAAGAAAGAATGAAAGAAAGATGCTCTCAGTAAGATTTTGTTTGGACGCAGTACCAAAACTTTCCACTAGATTTTTTTCAGGACCATTCACTTTTTGAATAATGTTCATGATTTGTGTGTGTGTGTGTGTGTGTTTTCACAGAGCAAAAAACTATATTTTTCATGATGCAGTACAAAAATGCAAATCAACATGCACCAGTCAAGCTTTCAAATTAGGCTACTTAATTGTTTGCATATTTAGGCATATTTTGCAATAAACTTGAAATAAATTGTTTTTATATCAATATTTGTAAATGAGAAATTTTATGCCTATTTCTCCATCATTTTTAATAATTTGAATACATTTTTAAAAAATGCGGTTCACAATGCCTCATGGGTTTGTAGTTTTTTGTAGTTTTTCTCCCTTCTTAGTATTGTAAAGATTGTACCTTTGTCTTTTGGTCCAATTAAAAAAAAAAAAAAAAAAAACGCCTTTGCTTCAAATCAAACTTTGTAGTGATTCACCACGTAGCCTAGCGGATATGCTTCATGACTTATAACTCAACAAAGACTTTTTCAAATCCCTATGGGAACAATACTTCCAAGAAGCAGAGCCGCAGACACTACATCTGTTCTAAATCACTGGTTTCTTGGACCTTATTGCTTCAATAGCCAGCAAACATTCCCATTTGGTTCCCATTTGGGTTTTTTTTAGGACCTAAATAACATTAGGTCCTAAAAAAAGAACGTTCAGGTTCCCAGAATGTTGCAGGGAAGTATTTTTGTATCCTAAAGAAAACCTAAACAGAACTATCTCAAATGTTTTTTGTTTTTTTTTTTGCTTTTTTTTTAATAACTAATCTTTCTAGATGTTACAGGGTGGGATTTTTGTTGTTGTTGTACAACCAAAGAGAAGCTACATGGAACATTCCAGAATGGTTATTTTTAAATTTTCTTTAATAACAATAAACTAACGTGCACTTCCCAGAACGTTAAAAATAATATTTATTTTTATGGTTTTGTTTTTATAACTAAAAAAAAAAACTATGTATATCACATTATTCATTCTGACCCTCTCAGACTGTAGAAACATTTAAAGTCTAAATAATTTATTAAATAATACATATATGTAACATTTTGTCAAGAACAAAGTGTCTTGCTGCTTTTGTGCTGTTTTGTGTTTCAGCAACCTCTGTGAGCAAGACATTCATATTAGTATAAAGGCCTGTTATATAACCATACAACAGGCCTTTATACTAATATGAATGTATTATGTATCAGAATGTATAATGTATTAGCCTACATTAAAGGATAAATTCAAACACACAATGAGAAACACAATGCAAATATGGATTTTTTTTCGACCTAATTTAAAAACAAAAAACAAAGTCTACATAAAAACAAAAACCAAAGTCTACTGTTTTGTGTTTCAGCACCCTCTGTGAGCAAGACATTCATATTAGTATAAAGGCCTGTTATATACAACAGGCCTTTATACTAATATGAATGTATTATGTATTAGAATGTATAATGTATTAGCCTATATTAAAGGATAAATTCAAACACACAATGAGAAACACAATGCAAATATGGATTTTTTTTCAACCTAGAATTTAAAAACAAAAACCAAAGTCTACATAAAATGCAGATTCTTTGCACTGTTTGCACTGCGCAGATTTCTGCAGGTCACTAATTAAATAAGCAGATGTGTGCCTGATCACATGACTCATTCATTGCCTACAGACGGTTTTTGCTCCCATTGAATCTCAAGAGTTCTTGAGCTGGAGAACAAGGTCATCAGGTTTTACAGAAACTTGTATCATTCATAGCTCGAGTGAGGCAAACCGCAGGATAGGCTATGTTGGCTTTCATGCATTTGTGTCAAGTTTTGAATGCGGTTGATATATGTGGTGTTTTTAATGTGCTTTGACAAACCACGTGCAAATTCATATCATCAACACCATTGCAGAGTATTTTCTTCTTAAAAGTCCAGTCCAACCAAATAAAGTCCCAAAAGCGTGGGTTGAAATCGCCGGAGTTTCTTTTCATTCACTCACGTCCCTAATTTGTATATCAACGAGTCAAGACTTGAGTTAGCCTGGATGCCAGCCCGAACTCCGCCCACAACATTTTTTTGGTCGGGAAGCTCCGACAAGAATATGAGTATGACGAAGTCAGGCTAGGCTTGACTTGCATTCAAGCTATTTAACCCGTTTAATTTAATCGTCACCACAATTATCCCTCACAGACTTTAGTGTGGTATTAAAAATGATGAAGCACGTTCATTTATAATACAAAGGTATCAGTTCTGGGCAGCTGTAACATTATTGGGTAGTTTGGTCATGTCACCACACACATGTTACTGCCATCTTAACACAATGATGATGATGATGTTAAAGCTCAGATGTGACAGCTACGTTTTCTGAGTAGATTTGAGTAGCTCATAAACTTTTTGTACACCTCATCATGAAATAATTATCTATACAGTATCTCACAAGAGTGCACCCCTCACATTTTCACCAAACATTTTAGTATATCTTCTCAAGGGGCAATACTATAGAAATGAAACTTGGATATATGTTAGAGTAGTCAATGTGCTGCTTGTTTAGCAGTATATATTTACTGTGCCCTGAAAATAACTCAACATAAGACCCTAAGTGATAACAGCAGTACAGAAATTTAACCATGCGAAGCCACGTCATATTCATGTTTTTGTCTGCTTGACAGGACCATACAAATGTGTGTATCTTGTATTAGAGCAGTTAAAATGTGTGCTTTGAGTGCACTTCTCTCATACGCCACACGTCATGGCCTTGATTCTTTGTTAATGAAATAAAAAAACACTCATTTCAACTATTAAACCCAGTCTTTAAACTAATTGCTGAGGTTTTTCAATGTTTTAAATGCAACAACACCATAGACCTACACTCCCCGTGTTCAACCACCGGTCAACCCATGTTTTCATGGACTTTTCAATAATCTTTTTACACAATTGACATGGATTGTTCAATATCCTTACAAATACCATACAAATTCATGTTATTTTGGTGATCAAAGATGTGTTTTAAAGGAGTTAATTATTAACAAAGGCAGACTGGTTATTAATGCTCATTTTCTTGATGACTCAAGTTCTGCATTCATCCAGATTCAAAAGCTCAGACAGAGAAACACACTACTATCAAAATATATTTTATTCTGGACTTCTCATTTGATCAGACTCAAATCACAATAGTCAAATCAACATCGCAGTAAGTGATTTCTGCTTGAGAGTGAGCAAAATAGAAAACAAAAGAGAGAGAAAGAGGGAAAGGGTCGATTAAAGATGATCTAAAGTGAGACAAAAATCACTGAACAAGTATTCGCATGGTCCAAGACGTTCTGATATGCCCAGGTACGTGCTTTTGCCGAGCGCTAAAAACAACATTAGAATTACAAAAGATTTCGAAGTACAAAATTTTAAAGGGTCGTGGACACAGCAAGCCGAGTGCTAGGTGTTGAGGACCAAGAGAAGCAAACGCTTGCGCACACACACTGTAAAAGGTAAATCTCTTTCAAATTAAAACATTATAAAAACCCATTCCACTGTCATAGACAATATAATAAATAGCACATTTTCGTACAATCTACTTGTTGATTATATTAGAGCAAGCTTCAAAATACTCATCTCTTTAAAAAACAAAAAAACAAAACAATTCAGGATATTCTTAGAAGGGGGAATACAGATTATAGTTGATCCATGGGGGGAAAGAAAGGCATTTGTTAGCATTTTGGACTATTATATATGTATATAAAAACAAAAACAAACTATTTAATTAGTTTAAACCAGCCGCCTCATCCTCTAATAATAATCATCTGGTTCGTTCAAGTAAATGTTTAATGTCACTCAAGTAATTTCAGTCCAAAAAGATAAAAGATGTTTTAAGTGCTCATAGGATTTCATGGGAGAAGGTCTAAAGTGCTGAGAGGTGACATGAGTATGCTGGGTAAAAGCTGCTTCTCTGGACTATGACTGTCTAATGGTATTTTATAAAGACACGTGACAGTGTCTAGCAAACTGTGCCGTTGCCCCGACGAAACCATGCTGCGAGAAGTCCAAAAGTCAACAGAGTTTACGTTAAAAATCAATCTTTTATAGCGGGAGCACCCATACGGACACCTCCATATACAAACAAATGAAAAGTTAGCAAAACGGCGCCACCTCAACCTGACTTTGGACTATTGAATTGAAGAAGTCCTCTTTCCCTGCTGACTGACTGAAAGTGAATAAAAACCAAACCGCACCGACCCATAATTCTGTTTCTTGTGTGAAGCCGTAAACTAAGGCTGGTATAGTCACACGCACATACCAAGCTCCAACCTCTATAGAAAAGAAGGAAATGACTGCAATACGCCGCACTAAAAGGAGGAACCTTTAAGTGAGCCGTCATCTAGGAGGAAGGTGAAGGAAAAAAAAAAAAAAAAAAAAAAATTCACTGGAATCAACAAAAGGAACGAATAAACTGCTAGCTGTGGTTTTCTGTAACAGAACAGAGAGAGCGAATGTGCCGTTGTGTTTTTAGGGTTGGCCTTTCAGACGTTTATACAGGCATTTACCCATTTATGCGCTGCAAGTTCAGTTTTGTCTTATCACAAAGTTGCATAGGTTGTACAAAATAACACAGGGCGTTCGCATTAGAAAATATAGTTGAGTAATTTAATAGGCTTTCTGTACTCAAAGAACTTTAAAAAAAAAAAGAAAAAAAGAAAGAAAGAATCAAATTATCTCTCAAAGTTTGGCAGAAGAAGAAAAAAAAATCCTTGAGCATTTTTTTTTTTGGAGAACAGTTTCCAAAAGTCACAGAGCCACTAAACATACAGTGCCAATACTCTGAATTGTCAATATCATACAGCCATGAGTTGGCCATGTTCTGCTCTTTAGCTCATGCAGTTTGGCCTAAACCACCGTTGGAGTGCTGACATGTGCAATATGCGCACGACAGCGGCGTGGACCTCAGCCCTCTGGGTTTGGAATGGTCAACACAGGAACTAATGAGTGTGTGTGTGTGTGTGTGTGGGTGTGCACATGCGGTGTTGAGCGAGTCTGTATATAACAGTCCTTGTCTTAAGCGTCACGGGTCCGTGTTGTGATGGAGCTGGTCTGGCACCTCACGTGTGGACTACAGCAGTGGATGATGGGACAGGGACAGTCGGTAAATTTGGCTATGCACACATTCAAAGTCGGTCCATGGCTTCCCATAGGCAGTGTCATTTCCTTAGGTCTAATACACAAACCTGAGATGGGGAAAGAAAACATGTTATGTACAATGGGTAATCCTATAAAATGTGCTTAATAAAACACAACATATTACAATTGGAATATTTCACTATTTAAAGGGGACATGACATGAGAAGTCAAATTTGACATCCGAGGTCTTTGTACCATTAAAACATCCTGCAAGTTTTAGAGCTTACAACATTAAACAAAGCATTTATTCAGTCAAGCTCTAAAACCAGCTTGCAGAATCTGTGACCCGAGGTTAAATTGTAGTTTTGAATTTTTTAAATCGTTTTATTTTAATATCATTTTCAAATTTCCTATAAATTTCAGTTCAGTTTTAGTTCCTTTTATTTTGTAGACTTCACTTTCATAGATTTAGTATTAAGTAATTATAGTTTAGAAAGACATTTCACTTCATCAAAGTTTGCAGTTTACAGTTAACTGTTGGGCAAACCTCTTAATGATTGTTTGAGATTGAAAAAAGAACCAAACAATTGCAGCTTAAAAATATAAAAGTAAAAATTACTCAAACTCATTATTTATCTTTATGATTAATCCTTTCAAACCTATTATTCTTGTGTTGATCCATTTATGCGTTTTGTCTGTTGTATCGTTTAACATTATATACTCACATTCATGTGTTCTGTTCAGACCAGCCTTTTAATTATCTTCTACTCTGACAAAAGTACGTCTAGATCAAATATCCATAGACGTCATGTTAAAATGTCCATTTTCACAGCATAAATTCATGTTTTTACAGGTTGGTCCCATGGACTTTTATTGTATTTTTCGATAGTTTCCGAGTGCCTGACAACTGTGAGGGGGGTGAATTGTTTTTCTAACTCGTTAGGTTAGATCGTATTTAGATATAAAATGTATGACAAATAAGGGCGGTTAACTTTGATTGACACCTGATAATGGGCTGCGCCGAGTGAATTTGACGTCTCGGCCATGATCTGACACAACACATCATACCACCTCTCTGTATCCTTTCTGAAACGTACGTATTTTGTATTTCCCAAGATTTTCCAGTATGGCCCCGCCCATACCCCCCCATAACAGCCACAAACCCGTTCTTTAGAGAGTCTATGGGTGACGTCACAGGCGCTTTGTCCATATTTTTTACAGTCTATGATCTAGATGTGGCATTTCCTTTTTCCGTTTCCTGCTCAGTGTGTGCGTCTCCTGTCTATCCTGCGGTATAACGTTCTTGCTCATTGTGCAGTTTCACAAGAGATGACTATCTTACTCGGAAATGAGGTACAGCTGTATTTACATAATGGAGATGGCAATACCTTTGCTTTGTGTTAGGCACTCGTCTAGCCCAATGCTCCAAATAGCGATTAAACGTCTAAAAGTATCTTTAATGTGTGTTTTCACACTTCTTGACGACTGGTGCTTCCTCTCAGCACAAGTTTGGCATTGTTTTAAAGCGTAGAACAGAGAGAATGCATTGATGTCACTTTCCCGCCGGAAGAACCCCCCTCAGCCTGACTGAGTGGCAAAAGATCTGCTGCGTGACTGGATTTAATAGGGGAAACTGTGAAAATGCGACTAAAATGAACAATTTTATCAATTTAAACTAAATGTTGGACTCAATATAGTGTTCCTTACAACTTACTAAAGATCCAGTGATCCATGGAAATTGACATGCAGCCAGGAATCGTGTTGCCTAACATTTATGTTTGCCTGAAGTCGACACCGGGGAAATAAAAGCAATATAGACCGAAACATGAAGCAAATTTGCCTGAGAACGCTTTATATAAATATAATATAGGTAGGTCTAAATCCGGGTGATCACTAATATATAGCATCATATCGTCCAGCCCTAAAACTTTAGTGTTTTTTTTTTTTGGTCAGTGTTTATTAAAAAACATCCAATAATGCAGAATATGCAATGATAAATATTTAATTGATGAGTTGTTATTATATATAACAATACAAAATATATGGGTAAGGTTTTACACCTAAATTCAGCATATTGACAGAAACTGCAAATCCACCTTTCGCTGACTGGAGTCCAGTTGTTTTTGTGAATTGCAGCGACCCATTTGCTCCTTCTATAGCAGTCTGTAAAAATATACCTCCGTTTTGTTTTTAAAATCTAGTTGTACAGTCAATCGCGAAGCTCTTTCCCAAATTATACATGTTGTGTTTGTTTTTCGTGCCATTCACGCTGAACACATATACAGCCGCTCAGTCTTTGAGCCACTCACTGTGAGTAACTGCAGGCACTCCGGCCGACGGTGACGTCACGCGCATTCCCTCTATTCCAGCTTTGCAAATATGTATAGCGAATTCTCAATGGTATTAGTCTGAACCGATGAAATGTGATTTTCAAACTCATGCTGATGTAAACAAAACGGTCTTCCTCACGTTGCCTCAGACAGCGCCCGATCCCGATATATACACAGAATAACAATAGGCTATTTCAAAATATCTGTGTTGGCGGGTATTTTACGCAAACATTATCTGTTATGTCTTAAGTGAATGTTCAGTTAGCTGTTAGAGAAAAACATCTGATGTGTAGAGATCCGTGCGGTACAGTAGGTCTGAATATAGGCTGTCTGTTTCATCAATGTTCATCAAAAAATTGTGGTCTCATGGAAAAAAAGATGAATATACAGTATATTTTTCCTATAGATATTTGTTGTCAAATGTTGTGTTACAACCAGGGATTTCAAGGCATGATTGCTAGAAGATTTAGTTCTGGAACTTGATTCTCAAAATTGACTTTGCCGACTATCGACTTCAAATGGGTGTGACTCTGATTCCAATCACACATCATTTTGAAGGTTTTTTTTTTTTTTTTAAATGAAAAACCTCATTGCGACTCATTTCGCCAGCACAGGTCACACAGTTTTACATCATCACAACATAGGCCACTTAACGGCTAACATTTGCATACCCTGATTGTGATCATCGACGTGTGATGTGGCCTAAGGTGTGGTGAATGGCCCTGAAATACTTATGGTGTCAAAGCATTATATGTTTGTTTGGAGCATTCTGTTTTGTAAATGAGGCACAGTGTAAAGGAGAGTTCACAAAGTGAAGCAGCCAACTGTATTGTATCTGACAGCAGCTGCATCACAAACAGTAAATAAATGATTTTACTACGCTAATGTTTTAAAAACACATTGTGAGTGGGCGTTGACACTGTTTCCCATGCATTTTCTGTTTCCTATCAAAACATTTCTGATAGGAAACATATTTATGGCTGTTTACTGCTACTTTAAACAGGCTTGCCACAGAAACTCACCGATCCGTCTGATGCACTTGCGCCCACTTTGTCCCCAGTGGAGTTCCAGCATACTTCAAAAATGCCGCCCGTCCCTCTGTAACTGTTCACTAAAGCACCGCTCTGTAGGGGAGAAATCGAGACTCGCGTTAAGAACACCAGCCATGCGATTCAGCACCGATCAAAATATCAGCAACGGAAGATTAATGTAAATCTGAAACTAAGTATTTTTCCAGTTTGAACATACTTGATTGACTAGTTTTGAGCCTAAACATCAGAAATTATTTTGTAGACAATTTTAAATAGTGTCTACATAGGGTGTGAACCGCTAAGCTGAACCCAAAAGGAACACACCCCTAATCTTGGTTCCTCCAACCCAACATTCACGTACACGCTATGCAACACAGGCAACGACTATGGCGGAAGCTGCTTTACCTGGCGCCCGAGGATATGATGTCATCAATAAGTGAAAGCAATTTTGGGGGGGGGGGGGGGGGGGGGTGACTGCACAGATGGACTTGTCTTCAATGGCACCATTTATTTTCAAGTATTACAGCTGTGTCTTTAATGTAAAATCTTAATGTAATCTTTTTTATGAATCAAGGCCAGTATCACTAATATTATAGCGACTGGTGATGTCTCGATGAAAAAGATTTCCCCAAAAATTTTTAAACATTTATTAGGCTTCAAACTATTATTTTTTTATTTAAATGAACTTAAAACAACCCTCACTTAAACCCATAATAAATGTAATATTTACCTGTGCAATACAGAAATCGTATAAGGTTATAAAACGGTCCGCACTGCATAAATTACAAATGAAATGGGCCTATAGATTCATCCTCATCAAAGCTACAAGCGTTCTTTAGTCAAGAGCAGTTAGTAATTTTCTCTGTTCCCTCTGTTCTTTAGGTTAACTTTACTGACACACAGAATTAATGGCTCCTGTCACTTTAAGATCTGCCACTGCTGACAGGATCTCACGCATCTAATTCTCTCACAACTATTTACTTCCATTTAAGATTGTATTTAAGACTATTCGATAAGGATAATCGACAAAACGGACATTTTGAATACGTGTGTTATTGTTCGTTCAAGCGCCAAAGAGAACTTGATATTGGCGCCCGTCTTTCTGTGCGTCGTGAGTGCATGTGTCAGGAGGACATTCACTGTCAAGGTTCTCTTTTGTCTTGTCGCGCATGAATGGTTTAAATCATTTGCGTGAATAAGAGCGTGATGATAACCCTAGCTAAAGGATGACAGAAAGAACGGAAGCTGCGTTCATTGCGTTAAATATCGAACACGTTAAAGCTGGACAAAAACGAATCGCATTTGTTGACGTTGACAGCACTTGTCATATGGCGCTTTTCCACTGCATAGTACGGTTCGGTTCGGTACGGCTCACTTGTGGTGCTTTTCCACTGCATGGTACGGTACAGTACGGTTCGCTTCAGGTCGCTTTAAATGGTACCTGGTCTGTTGAGGTTCCAAGCGTACCGTACCGGTACTAAAATGTGACGTGAAACACTGCAGATCACTGATTGGTCAGACAGAATCGTCACTACTAGCGTCATTGGATTTGCGACACGAGACACTTTTTTAGCAGTATTTTTGTTTTGCTGCCATCGGCCTCATTTTAAACACATTTTTCCGTCTAGCAGTTAAAAACAACCACATACCGAGAATCAGGAACACCATCCCCTCGATAGTCTCCATTGTTCCTGTGTTGTGGGTTTGAAAATGTGGCGCTTTTAAGATGATGTCATGGCAGTAGAGGCGCGCGCAAATAACGATCAGTCCCACACAATTTGAAGGGGTACTACTGCGGTGGAAACGCAAAGCGAGCCGAACTGTTCCGCGCCGAGTCGAAGCGTACTGGGCCGAACCGTACCGCACTATGCAGTGGAAAAGCGCCTATACATTGCTGACAGAAAATACTGTGGTTTGAAGTGGACTCGTTTTCATGCTAGGCCTACACAATGTTTTTAGTCCGCTACACAAAATGTTCTACATTTAATATTTAGCTAACAGTCTGAAGTTACCCATTATCCTGACCTGAGCTAATTCCCTGAATCAACCAACTCATATCTCCCTTCTTTCTTTTCATCCATGATGACATTAGTCACCTGCTTTTGCTTCATCACTGACTGTGTCTACGGTCGCAACCGTTATAGGCCCTACCTGCTCATTAGAACTTTCAGTGAGCTATTTTACACAGGCTCGGTCCTGCTCTTCCGTGACGATGACGGCGTGCGGTTAAAAATCATAACAAACTAATTTAAAAGTCGGGGGAGATGTCCGCAAAGGAAATAGCGCCTGTGGGTAGGACATCATCCCCAGACTTCATGAACTTGCGCGATGACGCTAACGTGACGCATGGATCTCTTATCACACTGTGTCGCCAGAACCCACACCGCTCTGCTTCTGATAGGCTTGTAACATGTTAGAACTGCGATCCTTTCATATGATTGGTAGGTAAAATCAATTGACTCGAAAATATTAACCGAAATTACTAACTAGATACTAACCGATCTTTAGCAATGAGTAACCGTTGGATAAACAGCCTATAGTACCTGCGTGTTCCAGATATGGACACACTTGTCGAAGGAGCCACTGGCCAGGTGCCGCCCGTCTGGGCTGAATGCCACACTGTAAACGGGCTCCTGGTGTTTGGTCAGCGTGTGGATGCAGGCGCCGCGCTCTGCGTCCCACAGACGCACCGTTGAATCAAACGACGCGCTGTGGGCAGAAAATAAGAAGAGAAAAAAACAACTGCTTAATGCGTATAAATAAATACACACATGTAAAAACATCTGAAAATGCAGACAGATTTTTAATTTAGCCTGATGGGGGCTGGTTTTATGCACCTGGCCAGCATGAGGTTGGCATTGGGGTTGTTGGTTTCAGGGCCAGTCGGACTCCATTTGATGGTGTAGATCTCCTTACTGTGGGCTTGCAGGTCATGAACACAAGTGTCCTGTTTCATGCTCCAGAGCTAATGTTCAACACACAACATTATTATAATAGACAGTTGAAAATGGCCAAATCATCAAAATAGAGATCATGGTAGGTTGTTTGTAGCTCACTTTTAACGTCATGTCATCAGAGCAGGAGGCCAAGAGATTCCCTGTTGGATCCCATTTGATTGCATTGACTTCATTCTGAGGATAAGGAGTGTAGCGATATAATCAGTTAAGCATGGTTACTTAACGGCTCTGTGGAATACTTGATTCTGATTGGTCAATTGCGCCATCCAGCGGTATGTTACTCCCCGATAACAACCGCTGAAACGGGCTCATCCGGTGGCTGAAGTCAGCAGCGCAACACGCTTGCTAGGAACGTTTTTTTTCTTCGTGGAAGTTTTGCGTTTGGTGATTTAATAAAATATTTAAGCTCAGTCAAATCAATAATTTGTGTAGTTATTTATTATGTCATCCAGTATCATGGCCTCGCTCTCTCATTTCATTCAAACGCAGCTGATGCTATTCACGTTTTTTCAATATTACATTCTCAAAAAATGTTATTAAAAAAAAAAAAAAACTTAGGGATTTGAGGTTTACTTCATATTTCATACACAGAAGAAACTGTTGCAAATGTATATAAAAATGCTTAATAGTTCCAAAAAAATATTAAGCAGCACAATGTCAAAATATCAAATCAGCATGTATTTGAGGTACATTTATTTTAATCTTCATTGTAAAGCATTTCACAATGTATTTCAACCATAATAAAATTGATCTTCAAATAATTCGAAATATTTTACATGGATAGATTTAAAGGGAGCAGATATTGTGAATTTTTATAAGCAGCCTGCTTTGTTTTTGCCGCCATCATTATATTCATTCAAAATGTCATTGATATATTTACATACATCATTAAAAGAAACCAAATGTATACATTTTAATATTTATTTATATACATTTATCTGCTTTGTATCCTTTATTAGGATTGAACTCTTGCCCAAAATTGAACCTTTTGTTGTCCAGAACAGCTATTTTTTAAATATGATACATAAACATTTTTGCTCTAAGCTCAATAATTTGATTTCAGACCACTTGTTTCATATGTCAGGCTTTACAAGGTTAAGATTTAGTAGCTTAGTATTTCAGGACACCAAACAGTCGATGCGAAAAGTAGAATAAGCAGATATTGATACACACTATATTGGAAACGGTATAATATCTGCTGAAAGTGACTTACTGTGTGGCCCTGGAATGTTTTGACTGGTCTGTCCTGGCCCAGTTTACACACGTGAATGCACATGTCCGTGCTGCAGGAGGCAAACGTGTTGTTGCTCTGCCAGTCTACGTCCAGCGCCGGAGCTGCAGGTGACAAATGCAAACCACATCAATCTTAATGATTCTTTTGAAATGAGCTTACATACAACTGACACATTTGGATGACACGACCATCCGGTTGGGGGTTAAAGGGTGTTCTTCTCACTGTTCACACTTGGCATGTTTGTTTCGATTAAAACGAACCCCAGGTTTGCTTTCAAAGGAATTAACACAACACAGACCAAAGACATGTAAACGAACCAAACAGGAAGATGAGACCCTAAAAAGTACAGAAGGCTCAAGCAAATCTGTTTGTTCTCGTCATAGTCGTGATGTTGCCCATCACAGTTCAGAACCACGTCTCCTCACAGCAAATCTTCCTTTGTGTGTGTGACGGAGGGATTCTTGCCGCTGTTTTGACACTTTACTCATTTTATAAGCTCTTCACAGGCTCTCAGCTGGTCAAAATACCATCATATGTGGGTTTTAATTCTATTAATTCTCATAATTCCATTACGCACATACAACGAGCCCATTTATCTCAGCACACAGCATTGTTTTGGATATTCTGTAAATTCTGTCACGAAACGGGCAATACGTTATAAAAGCTGAGCAATCAGGTTGTGAATGCAACCCTATGCCTTTAGGTTTGGAGTTAAAAATGCCAATCTGAATGCTAAGAGAACCAGGACTAATTGTTTTTTGGGGTTTTTTTGTGCCAAATGAACCAACCGAACCGAACAACAAGTGTGAAGACACCGTAAGAAAACCCTAGCTGCTCTTCGCCCCAAAACTCTCTCTCTGAAGGTCCTCCAGGTCACATTACAACTGATATGGCTGCAAAATCCGGTCATGTATGGTTTTATTAATGTGCATTTAAAGTGTTTTCCCCCTGTATTAACAAGAATGTCAAGGTCCGTCGAGGGAAAATGAATGTCCTGCTTGTGAGCCTTGTCTTTACTCACCAGAATGGAATGGAAATTGCTGTTTGGCCTCTCCTGTGTGTGCGTCCCAAATAATGGTGGTCTGAAAGGTGCACATTCCCATTAGCATCATCACATCAGCTTATCAAGACAGTTACAAGCATACGATTATACTGTACCTTATCAACACCAGCGCTGAGAATAAAATTTCCTTTCTTGTTCCACTTTAAAGCAAATATGGGACCTTTGTGCTGCCCCAGTGTACTGGCAAGATTACCTACCAGTTATGGGACACTGATTAGATGAACAGGATTTTGAAATTTAATTGATATTAGCGATAGAGTTAATGAAGCTCACCATCTTTAGTCCATATCCTTGCAAAGCCATCATAGGATCCTGTCGCTAGGAGTGTACCTTCACTCTGCCCAACATCAAAGAGAGAGAAAGAAATACGAATTTGAATAAATTGGTTTGTCTGTGTAGTGTATGTGGTGAGATGCTCATGCAAGCAGGGTTACTATGATTCATAAGCGCTAGTCCCAGCACTCACATTCCAGTCCAGTGAGGTGACGTCTTTGTTACTGGGTACGTCCTGCCCCCCCTCCCGAATGCAGTGGCGCAGCACCAGCTGAGTGGATCCTCCCGCGCTGCCCTCACTCAGGTTCCAGATTCGTGCAGTCGAGTCTCCCGAGCTGATGGCAACAACCAAATGCAGAGAGAATCAACCCATTTGAAAAGTATTACGCAGAGACATGGAAAGTTTCAAAATTGACAGGTTTTACGCATACTTCGGGTCTTTACTGACTCGGGACGTCATTCACTACCCTCCCCTCTCATTCATTTCTTAAAGTTAGACTCTTTTTTTGTATTTCTCAAATCTATACAGATATGGAATAGTTCAAGTATATATTTTTCTGCACATCAATTGATTGCAGTTCACATTTATTCCTCAAGATGGCAATGTCTGACAAAGATGGTAGAAAATATTGATTTTGAAGACAGAAAATGATAGTTTTGAGAAATTAATGATAAAAACAATTCCAAAACTTAATGAAATATCCTTTATTTTATTCTTTTGCAATTGCTAATAAAGCATCAAGAGATTTGTCACATTGAGGCAGATCGAGAGCCACTAGTGTTAGATATAGTGGTAACACTTTAGTTAACATTATTTAATGCATCAACAAACAATGAGCAATACATTTGTTACATTATTTATAAATCTTTGTTAATGTTAGATAATAAAAATCCAGCTGCTCATTGTTTGTTCATGTTAGTTCACAGTACAATAACTAATGTCAACAAATACAACCTTTGATTTAATAATGTATTAGTAAATGTATGGGTAACACTTTATAATAACTGCACGCTATTAATCATTAGTTAAGCATGAGTAAACAGTTAATTCATCATTTATAAAACATTAATAGACATTAATGAGCAGTTTATAAATACAGCTATAAATGCTTTCTTCTTGATTTAAAAGCATATCTATAATTTGTTTAATAATTGTATTTTCATCCTTTATTAATTATCAATTTATCATTTATAAATGAAGTATAGCATTATTTACAAACCAGTTGTTTAAGAGTTGTTAGTCATTCATAAGATCACTTAGAAAGTGTAAGTAAATATAGTAAATGCAGGTAGTTATAAAGAATTTAGTAGTGGTTAGTTAACTATTTTTGTGAGCTAATCTAAAGTGAGGACTATTCATGCTTTGTAAAGCATTTATAAAGGCGATTTAAAGATTCGTCAATCTTCTAAACAGTAAAATGTAACAAACACAACGCAGTGATACAGAACATAGAAATATTTAACAGCCTTTAAAAATGCTTTACAAGGCATGACTAGTCCTCACTTTAGATGAGCTCACGTACATAGTCAACTGACCACTACTAAATGCTTTATAACTACCCAAATTAACCCTTAATTACAGCATTAATACATGTTAATGAAGCATTCATTAACACACTATATGTAACCATCACTATATATCTGAATGATAAGCTGTATGAATATACATTTAAATAGTTTATTAATCATTTACTTACATGCTCGAAGTAATCTTATGAACCACTGACAACTCTCAAATAACTGGTTCATAAAAAAATGCAATTCTTCATTTAGAAATGATAAATTGATCATTAATAAAGGATGAAAATACAATTATTAAACAAATTATAGATATGCTTTTAAATCAAGAAGAAAGCATTTATAGCTGTATTTATAAACTGCTTATTAATGTCTATTAATGCTTTATGAATGATGAATAAATGGTTTACTCATACTTAACTAATTATTATTAGCGTGTAGTTATTATAAAGTGTTACCAATGTATGAAATGAATATTTACTAAGGTGAACAAATGCTGTAGAAGTATTGTTCATTCTTAGTTCATGCTAACTAATGTAGTGAGCCTTGTTGTAAAGTGTTACCAATATAGTTATAGTGATATGTATTCGATATAGCTCCAGGTCGCTACAGACCTGCTTATGGAATAATAATTGGTGAAACATGTATGCATGAAAGGGTTAAACAGTGAAGTCTGGCTTTAGCTAGATACTGACCCAGAGGCCAGCAGGTCGCTGACAGGGTTCCAAGCACAGATGAAGACCTCAGACTCATGGCCCCGCAGCACCATGGCTTTACTGGCCGGGATCTCCACTGCCCTGTCCACCTCCATCATGTCTGAGTGGTGGTCTATCAAAGGAGAAGGCAGAGACACGTTCAGCGCTATGTGACAAACACAACCAATACACAGAGGTGTCTGGTCACTAAATGCAAGTCAAAGTCAAGTCAAGTCATTCTGTTGTAAGGGTCAAGTCAAGTCACAACTTAGTCATCAAATCATACCAAGTTGCACACAGGCTAGTGTTTCGTCAAAACAATGAGGTTTTTCTTTAAATTCTGTCATACTCAAAAATTCCTGTAGAGGGCAGTGTAGTGTGGTGACTGGGCAGGAACCATTGAGAGGGTTTGTTTCCAAGGGGGCACAATAAAGTGGTGCACCACAAGAGCACATGCAGGTGAAAAGTTTGGAGAAGATCTCTTGCTGGACTTGCAACGAATTTCACCCACATTCAGTTAAACAAATTCAAACTTGAAGAAGCATCTGGTATGAACATGAATTTATTTATATATTTTTGATGTGAACTATAAGGTGTAAGAGATCAGTATTGTGTTTCAGCATATTTGATGAATTGTGCTAGTTTGCTTGCTACAGTATTGATTGATGCTAAGATTTTGTATGATTTGGTGTGATTTGAGGGAAAGGTGTTCAAGTTTGTTAACATTTATTATTTCTTGTCAAAGCATTTTGATTTAGTTGATTTACATTGTAGGTAATATGGTGATGTTAAAATGTTACTTTAAATAACATCTTTTTTATATTAATGTGTGTTTCTTTTGTTTATTTTTATCTTTAAAGATTATCAACCTATTGCAGACCTATTGCAGATCTGTTGCTGATCTATGTCTGACCTATTGCTGACTACTGCTTCTGCAAATACCTCTGCAATCCCAGAAAATAAACAGTCAAGTCAATGAGTTGCTTTCTCTTGCGTCCTTCAATGTTTGAACGCCATATCAAGTTTGGGCAGAGCTGAATAAAAAAGTGGGAAACTTGAGAGTTGAGCAACTGATTATCAACTCTCAAGTTTCCCACTTTTTTATTCAGCTCTGCCCAAACTTGATATGGCGTTCAAACATTGAAGGACGCAAGAGAAAGCAACTCATTGACTTGACTGTTTATTTTCTGGGATTGCAGAGGTATTTGCAGAAGCAGTAGTCAGCAATAGGTCAGACATAGATCAGCAACAGATCTGCAATAGGTCTGCAATAGGTTGATAATCTTTAAAGATAAAAATAAACAAAAGAAACACACATTAATATAAAAAAGATGTTATTTAAAGTAACATTTTAACATCACCATATTACCTACAATTAGGGGTGGCACGGTACATGAAAACACACCCGAACCGTTCGGTTCGCTTGTCTCGGTTCGGAGCGCGTGTGCGTCTCACGGTTCGACGCATGCGCAATGTAACCTCGTGCCCGTATGTGACGTGTGTTTTCTTTTCGCGCGACATAAACTTGTTCGACTTGGACCGGCGCTGCACAGAGCGATCGGTGAATAACATCAATCTAGCGCGAGTCGGCTCCGTATGCATTCATCACTTTCGCGGTATTTGATGTCATTACCGATCGCTCTGTGCAGCGCCGGTTCAAGTTAATAAACAAGCCAGTAAAAGTGGAGTATGGAGCGCTGCAGGTCACGGCACGCGGAGAAATGGCAAGTGGGAGAGATGAGGGAGTTGGAGGATGCGCCAGCGTCGTATAAGTCTATGGTATAAGTCCGGTGTGTGGGAACATTTTGGATTTCATGTTATGATATTTTAATTTAACTACAGTGGCACTTTATGTATAGATAAGAGCTTCAGTCATACGTTTCCAAACCCTGCACTTTAATTTTAAGTGGAAAAGTACCCTCACATTTTGGGAATAGAAGCATTGTTGATACTGTTTTTGTGTTGAGGTTGAACTTCAATTTCACTTTGTTTATGGCCTTTGCTATTGCTATAGCTTAATTATCTATAGGCAATGAGGTTTCATGTATATTGACATTTAAAAGACAGTGTTTTAAGAGTTCCTCTCTTTTTCTTTTAAAAGATAGAATTTTGGTAAGAGCTACAAAAGTTAGCAGTTGATACATGAAAGTTAATTTCTTTGTTTAAATAAGATTTATGTGATAAAAATGCACAAGTTCTTGTAGAGATAGTGATACACATTCTCCTTTTTTTTTTGCCAAATAAACTAAAAGCATGTCAATGTCTTCTCTCTTGCTGTATCTAAATCTCACCTAGCTTTCCTCTGAGATAGTCCCAAAATGTGCTTAAAGTCAAAGAGTCAAATTCAGTTTGTGCATGATTGCATGAATATAATATATATTTTTTTAATACTGTATCCTAAAGTGTGGATAATTAAGCTATATATCACATGCTGAAGTACATTTCTGGAGTGTTAAAGATTAAAAGAAAAAATAACAAGAACCGTACAGAACCGAAAACCGTGACCCTAAAACCGTGATACAAACCGAACCGTGGGTTTTGTGAACCGTGCCACCCCTACCTACAATGTAAATCAACTAAATCAAAATGCTTTGACAAGAAATAATAAATGTTAACAAACTTGAACACCTTTCCCTCAAATCACACCAAATCATACAAAATCTTAGCATCAATCAGTACTGTAGCAAGCAAACTAGCACAATTCATCAAATATGCTGAAACACAATACTGATCTCTTACACCTTATAGTTCACATCAAAAATATATAAATAAATTCATGTTCATACCAGTTGCTTCTTCAAGTTTGAATTTGTTTTAACTGAATGTGGGTGAAATTCGTTGCAAGTCCAGCAAGAGATCTTCTCCAAACTTTTCACCTGCATGTGCTCTTGTGGTGCACCACTTTATTGTGCCCCCTTGGAAACAAACCCTCTCAATGGTTCCTGCCCAGTCACCACACTACACTGCCCTCTACAGGAATTTTTGAGTATGACAGAATTTAAAGAAAAACCTCATTGTTTTGACGAAACACCTCCCACTTGACCTCCTGGTTCATGAACCTAAGGAGGTCACTCCAATCACCTTCAACACTTTCACTTTTGTTCTTGATTTTGTTCTTCTAAAGGAAGCAAAACGATTAGTCGTCTTACATCCCTATGAAGGATTGTAGAAGGGATTTTGGTTGACAGTTTCTTCACTTTATCTCTTTGGACAGGCTTCACAGTTGGGACTGGATAGCTGGGAAAAGTTCTGACATATACATCTCTGACGATGCCCTTCTTGTCAATATTGACACTGATGACTCTAGCAAGTTTGTACTGGCCCCTCCAGGCATTTTGGTCAGCAAGCCAGACAACATCTCCAACAGCTACATTCCTATGTGTTGTGTGCCATTTATTCCTCACAAATAGATTGGGCCCAGCTAACTGACTCCACTTCCTCCAGAACCGGTCAACTTCTGTTTGGATAACTCTCAACCTCTTGTATGGGTAGTTTTCAAAGTCAAAGCATCCAAAATCTCCTCTGGGTCCAGTTCGTCCAAGCAGAAGGGAGTTTGGGCTGATATATTCTATGCAGTCTTCCCGGCTTTGAGTTCTGGCATCTACAGGCCTTTCATTGGCCAGGTTAGCAGCCATATATATAAATGTCTGAAACTCACTCCATGTAAAGAGTCCTTCTCCTCCCAGGTTGTGCAAAGCCCGCTTCACTGTCTGAACAGCTGCTTCTGCAGCTCCATTTCTGTGAGGGGAGTCTGCTGGGTGGATTTTCCAGCTCCATTGTGTTCCATGCAAGGAAGCTTCATTCTCAAGCTCAGACTTATTTAGTTGATCCAGGAAGAGATAAAGTTCTTTCAGTGCAGGTCTGGCACCCACAAAACTCTTTCCAGGATCTGACCACAGTTTCTTTGGGTGCCCTCTCAGTGCTGTGAATCTCTGGTAAGCCATTAGGAAGCCTTCAGTTGACTGGTCACTGACAACATCTGTGTGTATAGCTCTGGATGACATGCAACAGAAGACAATTCCCCACACCTTGAGCTTTGTTTTCTTCTTCACCTCGTCCTTGACTTCATACGGTCCAAACAAGTCCACCGTTGTATACTCAAATGGTCTGGCTGGTGTTATCCGCTCAGATGGAAGGTCACTCATGATCTGTTGGCACTTTCTGGCCCTAGCCTTTCTACACACAATACAGCTATCAACACTCTTTTTAGCCAGCTTTCGACCTTTCGCTACCCAGGCTTTTTTCCTCATCCGGAGAAGTGTGCCCGCTATTTCTTCATGATTTTCACCATGAGCCTCTTGCGCTAGAAGAGTGGATATCCACGCATCATAGGGTAGAATGGGTACAGCAGTTTTGTCCTCATCAAAAGTCTGGAACCTTCCTCCACAAACTAAAAGCCCAGTCTCTTTCTCTTTATAAACAGCGAGTCTGTTGAGAGTGGTGTCTTGAAAGGTTATACCTTCTTGAGCTGCAAGGAACAGGTCTCTTAGTGCATCTCTACACTCCCCGACAGTGAGTACAGCTTGTTTGGCTCTGGACCTCCAATTTGTTGAAAAAGCTCCCTCCCACTTTGGTTTATCTGAGGCTGAATTCTTGTTCAACAACTCTTTCCATCTTCTTGCAGCTCTCCAAACCCAGGCAATGACCCGGATCAGCCTGGTCAGATTGCTGAATTTCTTGATGTCAATCAGATTAGTTACTGCAGAGCCGCTTGGTAATCTTCGGATCTGAATCTTAGATTCATCTGGGTTAGCTTGCTGTACATCCCTCTTGTCTTTCTTGGCCTGCATTCTAGTCAGTGCTGCTGAGAAAGCTTTCCCCTGAAGTTTATTTATGCCTTCTTTGGCATATGTGGCGACTTCTTTGGCTGACTTATGTGGCCATTCTCCCACAGGTTGTCGCAGAAACGCTGGTCCATCCTGCCACATGGAACCTTCCTGGAGGTCTTCTGGGGCTGCCCCTCTTGTTATAGCATCAGCACTGTTCAGGTATCCCGGAATCCACCACCAGTCTTCGACTGATGTGGATTTTTGGATCTCCCCAACTCTATTTGTGAAAAAAGTTTGATATCCATAGCTGTCTCTCTGGATTGCTCCCAGCACAGTTTGACTATCCAGCAGATGGAGCCATCGT